GGTTCGCGTTTGCCACCTATATATCTTATCAAAATCTGAGGACTTCATCAAAGCCTACGTCAAGGAGTGCATTACCTACTTAAAGGTAAATGGTGCGAACCACCTTCCGTATGGGTTACTCCAGCCCCTACTCATACTTGAGGGTCATTGGCAGTCCATCTCGATGAATTTCATTTTCCCCCTTCGCTCACCCACAGATCGCGGTCATTATGCTATCTTCGTTATCGTAGGCCGCTTCACAAAGTGTGTACGCTTTGTCCCGTGCCGCTATCGCATTAGCGTTCGTGAGATCGTTGACATCGTCTTCGACCAAGTTTTGCGAGATCACGGCTCCAGAGGATCATCGTGGACTGTGAGATGTGCTTTAGCAACATATTCTCGCGACGCCTACTCGAGGTGTACGGATCCCATCTCTGCTTTTCACCATCTTACCACCCTAAGATGGATGGTCAGACTGAGGTCATCAATAAAATTCTCCATAATATCTCCGAAAGTTTATTAGGGATGACCAACAGTGAGACTTACACTTAACTCACGCGGAGATTGCGTACAACCATGTTGTTTCGCCAACCACGGGCATGCCTCCATTCTATTGTTACGTCGACTACCATCCTGGCGTACCCGTGGATTTCTTACGACTATCCCGGTTACGCCCAGACACTTGTTGCCATGCACTTGACGACTGGATCGCTCACATCGCGACGATTATGAAGATCGCACACGAGAGTCTAGCCGACTCCCAGACTTGCATGGCCGGACGAGTGAACCGATCACAACCGAAACATCCATTCAAATTCGATTACGATGTGTTCGTTGACGCATGTCACTTGGAGCACGAAGCGGATATGCTTCGCAAGTTCAGACGTCGCTTCTTCGGTCCATGCCGCATCCTTTAGGCCGCCTGTTTGGATACTGTCGCTAAGTTCGTTTACCTTTTGTGTAAAGCTACCAGACTACCTTTGATAGGCTCACATACACGATGCTTACCACTTCTCCTTGCTGCGTGCTTATTGCAGACCGTCCGAGCGCTTCGCAGAACGTCCTTATGCACGTCCTCCATCTCTCATGCTAGATGGTCAGAAGGAGTTCGTTGTTTTTGACATTGTATCTCGTTGAGTTACCGATGATACATCTTCACGCATCGAGTATCTTATGTGTTGGAAGGGCTATCTTGATGAGGAGGCTACTTGGGAGCCCCCCAAGCACTTAGAGCACGCCTGGATGGTGGTTCATACATATGATCGTCATGAGACATGTCCTCCTACTCAACCGACTGACCCTCGTCCTCCTCCTCTGGCTAAGGAGATTGCTGAGGACGAACCCACTCCCTCTACAGTCGTTCTTCAACACCGTACGGATGCCTCCGCGCATCCATCGTGCAGTCGTCGACGCCCTCAGCATCCTGACGGCTTAACACTTCGATTACCTACCTTCTCCCGATTGACTCACACCTTCAGGTACTTCATGATCAACTTCTTCAAGAAGTTCGTGCTTTGCGGCTCTGTTTCGACATCAACTCGACTCCTACTTTATCGATGTCATCAACCACTTCGACGCATTCAGGTACCTTAGCGACTTCAATCACTTTTGACGTTACTACTTGACACCACCACCCTACCTTGTAAATTATCTTGCATGTGTCGCATGATGGTTCTCACATAGCAGGGTCCCTGAGGCTTTAAGTTGAGCTCTCCCTTAGTATCACATAGGTATTGGGACCATAGCATTATTTAGGCTTCCTTACTCCCAGATGTAGCTACCTTCTCCAATCATTGAGTTATGTGCATGTTTCCCTCACCCACTGCATCCCTCATCACGCTAGTATCGACCATTGCATGTCTTCAGTTAGGCATATGTCCACCCTATTCCAGACTCCCCTTTCATGGTCGACCCTGCATGGTGTCACCCTTTCGTCGAGCATTACCTGCCTTGATGGTCTACCTGTTAGGATCATTGGTTTTGCTTTGCTACCATTCCCTCGTCCTTGGCCTGATGATCTATCCCAGCTTCGTGTGTGACTGCGCTTAAGAGGTTCGATTCTAAGGCTGCATTTACCCCCTCTAACACCATCCCACTCTTAGTGGTTCAACGACATGACATTACTTGTGACATATTGCTATCTTTCCTTTTTAGCACCAAGGCAATCGTCTCAAGGACTTTAGGATTGTATCATTTGTTGCTGTTAGTTAGGATGTGTGTACCAGACATTTGCTTTTTATTTGACATTACGTAGCTTAGGCTGCATCGCATGAACTCCGCATGCAGCTTACTACGCATCCTAGATTTATCAACTTTCCTCGTTGCAAAGTTTCGATGTTTTTGTGTATAGCGTGTTTATGTCTCTTGCGATCCACTACAGGTCCGAGGATCGTGCAACAGGCCTCTATTGGCCCTGGCCTGCAGCCATGGCCTGCAGCCATGGCCTATCAGGCTATTTGCCTGTTCGGCATGTGGGACCAGGCCATGGCCTGCCTCCACAGGCTGTGTGCTGTTTCGGTCCAGTCCAGTCCCGCCCGGTACCATTGTCGGTACCAGGCCAGTCGAATCTTGTCCAGTCAGCCCGTTAAGGGTATACCCCAGTTGCATTCTGTTTTCAGGTCAATCTTCATTCTGCACATTTTAGAGTACGTGCATGTTACGTCTGTGTCAGAGCTGCGTTGTCCCTTCCAGCTCCATCTTTATCTCCTCCGTCCACAATTTTGTGGGTTGAGCAGTGTCTTGGGTACGCAAATAAGTTGCACCGGGCATTTCCAGGGCACGGGTGCAAGTTTGCACTGGGACTGGGTACAACGGGTATCCCCATCTTTAAATGGGGTACAAATGCAATTTTCCCAAATGCAGTTTGAAATGCGTTTCTGTCATGTGACGCCCAACCTCACGCCCAGCGGGACTTCCTGATCGGAGTGGGATGTGGGCATGGAAGTGCAAAAACGGGTATGCCAAGGATTTTTGGGGAAAGTGGGGGAGTCTTAGGGGTATGAATGCAATTAGGCGAATAAGGGGCGCGTGCGCAAGGGACTCAAGGCCCGATGGGGCCTGGATACTGTGGGCGACGGCTTACGAGGAAGTCCCTCCGTGGAGGAGGTGGTCCTGAAAAGTTGGGCCGTTGGGGGCCGCCACGCGGCGCAGGCTGCTGCGTGTGTGGGTTGGGCCTTCGGAATTCTGAGGTTCTTCGTTCGCCGCCACGTCGGCAATTTCCGCAGGGCGTGTTGGGCCAGTAGGGGGCTATGGCCGGCCACGGAACGACGCTTAGTTGATGATACGGGAGAAGAAGGCGAAAAGGAGGGAAACTGGTGGTGATGACGACAAATCTCGGGTGGATGAAGTAGTAGGCGTGGTCGGGAGAAGGAAAATCAGAGCACCGGGGGTCGCTAGAGGTGGCGCAGTGGAACTCCCGAGGACAAAGTCGATTCTCGGTGTGGCAGGGGTATTTCTGTCGGAGGAGTTCGTTTATCAAAGGGGTGAAGTAATCCGGGTCGTAGGATGAGACGGAATCCCAGGATCGCGTCATCATGACATTGCGATTTATGAGTTGCCTATGGACGGATCACGGTCGTTGCGTGCGATCACGTGCAGGCCGCGTGACTGTCGTCGGACTTACACGTGCTTGTGCGGGATGATTGCGTCGTTGCGGATTTCGGGATGGCCGCTCTCAATCGGACGGATTGATGGTCCCGTTGAGTCGACGCACGGGGATATGTGTAAGTGCGCAACTTGGATCGCGTCTTACACGTGTCCTCGCGCGGCGTTCATCGAGCCCAGGATCCGACCGCCTAACCATTTCGTGATGTTCTGAGTTATGCAAGATGCAATGATCACAAACAGCTTGATCACAAAAAAGAAACGAGCAAAGACAAAGACAGGATTATCGGTTGCTCAAAATCCCTATTCTACACACGAGTGCGTGAAATGCGACAATAAAAAACAAAGACAAGGGTTTCTCAGCAAAAAGATAAGCAATCCAGCATGGCATCCATACATCCATCCATTCCGTAATCATACACATAGCACATCAAAGAGGGGAGAGTCGCGAGGGCAAATGTAAGCAAAAACCCCAGGTTCAAATTTCGAGAAATTGAAAAGAACGGGCAAGCTGCCCGGAGCCGAAATCAAAACTTATGTACACAAGACATGCGGGAGAAAAGATGGAAGAAATAGAAAAATCGTATCCATCAACCTCAACTCTCTCTCCCTCTCTCTTCTTCTCCGATGCGGACAGTCCGTCGTCGCGCACCAACCCACGAAGTCGTCTCCCCGCTTAGTCCTCCCGCACCCGTCAGGTTCGCCCGCGCCCACAGTTCGTCGTGGCCCGCGTCAATCCCGCGCGTTGGGCACCAGCTCGTCGGGTCGCCTGACTCCTGCTCTACTCACCTCTTACTTCGCTCGTGTGCCGACCCTTCCTGATCGCGCAACCCCGAGCTTCCAACAGCTGATTAAGAGAGCTAACTAATCGTGCAACCGAAATTTATAGCGTGCATGCAAGCGCGAAGAACGCGGAATTACCAAGACTTAGAAGGGAGATTAGCAAGGAAGCGCCTACGTTCTGCATGACCGGGCCGCGGCGTGGGGGACGTAGCCACTCTCCACGCATCGATCTGAGCATGCAGTCCGTAGTTTCAAAAACGCAGCAAAAGAAAGAGGAGGAGGGCGGGAAGGACGAGGAGCAACAAGAAAGATACAGTTACAACGGCGCCAACCCAAGATTACAGTTACACACACGATTAAAGGCGCCGACTAATCAGAATTGCGTTGCAACCGCAAAAAGAAGCGCATAAGCAATTAAGAGCGCTGCGCGGCAAAAGAAAGTCCTAATTACAAAATTCCTAAATTCCTAACTAGTGCGAAAGGCAAAAGTATAGGTTCCAGGAAGAAAGTCCGAAATTCCGAGAGCCGTCGGGGCTTGACAAAATTCGAAAAAGATTTGAAAGAAAAATTCAAAAAGGAACAAGGCAAATTCCCGCGCGATGTCCTCGCCCAAAAGATCGAAACCGAAGCGAGAGAAATGAAGTTAACATTTATTAATGCGCGCGCGGAGGTGCGCTAGCCATCCAGCCGACCAATCAATCAACCGGTCATCCCAGAACACGCCCAGCTCCAAACCCTGCCATTCGAAAAGAGGCGACGGAAAAGACGAAAAAGCAAGGACACCAATGCAATTTCCCACCGATCCCGATCTCCCGTAATTGGCCCAACCTTCCCAACTAAGGACCCCTCTTTACAACCACTCAGAAAGTCGCGCGTTACAGAAAGTGGTTCGTCACATATGTGACGCCCAGGGGGTTCTAGAATTAGCAAGCTTCTGCTTGTTTGTGACACGTGTCGATTTCTCTGATCGATCGACACTCGGAGCATCTCTCTCTATGCCACTTACCGTTAAATTGACTGTGGACGTCGTCCAACGTGGCAGTGCTGCTCTTCTACTGCTTCCTCAGGGTAGGCCTTTGACGTTCCAAGGAGTGGGAGTACACGTGCCGCCGTTATGACACGTGTCCAATAGCCATACATCAGTGCCCGCAGGGGAGGGGAAAAGGAAGCCGGTACATAGCAGCATGGAGGGGTGGAGGGTTTATAGGTAGCGGGGGTAGGAGACTTTCCATTCCGGCCACAGTCTCCGGGAGCTCTTGATAACGAACAATGCGATGAAAACGGGGGAATCGATTGCCAGTGCGAGGGAGGGATGCGAGATAGTCGAGATAGAGGGTGGTGAGAGTTCGGAAGAGTGCCGCGCGGAAGCGATCGCGGTCTTCGCATGCTGGGATGGTCCCCGTTATCACGCAATAAACCTCGATCATATTGTGGCCTCGCCACGCGGCACTAAGGAGTAAGACATGGAGGCAGAAGGCCGAGACGGCGCATCGGATGGAGAGGTGGGAATGCACTACTATAGCGAGGCGAGCAGCGTAGAAGTGGCGGAAGGTGTCGCGGGGGAATGGATTGGAGGGGAACGTGACGGGGGTGGTGAGCTGGCGGAGGGTGAGGTAATCAAGGGGTCGGCGAGAGAGTGAACGGGGACGAAGACCGATCGCTTGTATCGGTACGTCGGCGAACTGGGGGACGGGTTGGGGAGGAGGGGGATCGACTCCGTCGCCGCACTGATGGGGTCGGAGTCGTGGCCGCGAGGTCGCCATCTTCAGGTCGGGGCGGCTCCGGATCTCGGTTTGGGTCGTCGTGGATGTGCAGACTCGCCGCGCTTGCGAGTTCTAACTCCTTCTTCCCGGCCGCGATCTCTTCTCTTTTGCGGGCCGCCTCGGGATCTTCGGCCTCCGTGCCCGTACGCAGTGCTTCTTCCGGCACAGCTTCCCACTCCGATCCAGCAGGCCCCTCTTCGTGTTCCTCTTCGTGCTCCTCTTCTCCTTCCTCGTCTTCTTCTTCTTCGCTTTGTTCCCCCTCGCTATGCTCGCTATAGCTTCCTTCCTCGGGGGTTTCGTCCTCTTCACCGAGCACTTCATCACTATCCCCGCCTTGGTCTCGCACGCCCTCTCCTTCATCACTCCCGGTGCTGTCTTCTTCCTCCTCTTCTTCTCGGATGGCAGCAAACTGCTCCGATGTAGGGTACCTGAAGAAGGCAGGATCGAGAGCCGTCCGGGGATCCAAATATTGTTGCTGCGACGGCGGGATGTGTTTTGCGGCTCCCTCTACGCAAGCCGACCACTGAAGGTAAGGTGTCAATGTGCGATAGAGCACGAGGAGAACCAGATGCTCGTCGTCTTGCGCGATGATGTCGAGAGGGAGATCATCCGCCAGCTGCGCTACAAGGATCGTGAGCTCTTGCGCGATAAGTTCCCAATAACCGGGCCGCACTGTTCCAAACAAAAACGCAAGGATCTCTCCCTCCACGCTGGTACGCCAGACCTGGATAAACAGCAACTCCAGACGCTCTATGCGAGGTGGGTGCGCTCCGTCCTCGGTCCACGTCATTGGTACCTCAACCAAACACAAGGAAAGCTCGATGAAATCCTCTCGCCACAGGATCCAATGGGGAGGATGAAGAAGGGGGACAACAAGAGGCTTTAGACAATAGGAAAGGTGAGGATGGATGTCAGACTGCCAGAAGGTGGGGAAGGTGGAGGGGAGATCAAAATCGGAGATCGGAGCGAGACTCATTGGGGACGCGGGAAGGGAACGAGGACAGGGAGTTCCGCCGGCGGATCGCGCTGATACATCCGAAGGCCGTCATACTCGATCGCTCGTGTCGTTGCGATCTTATCCCCGTGATGAGCCAAAAGTTGGGTCCACTCGGCGATTAGATCGTTCATCCACGTGCGCAGCGACGCCTTCACTGCCGAATGCCATAAGGGAAGGAGCGTGTAGAGATCGCCACTGAAGTTGATGATGACAGATATGCGGCTGACGCCGGGCACCGCTCGCTGATGAACTGCTACCGCCTCGGCCAGTACCACCGCGTCAGGCCGGCCTTCGATTCTGAACACCGCCGGTGCATACACACCTTCCGTGTAGAAGAAGTGTGCAAGCCACCGAAGATCTGGACTGAGGTGAGGATGATGGACTTGCCGGATCGTCAATCGATCACGGGGCGCAAGCGATGCTTCGCTGAGGGCTCTCTCCTCCATAAAACTCATGACGATGGCGAAGGTCACTGGGAGGCAGAGAGGGAGCAAGAAGAAGAGGGAGATGCCGGGGAGACAGAGCCGTCATCGTCGGATTCCTTCGAGGGGAAGGCCGATGAAGAAGGAGACGCAATAGAGGGGAGGAGGCGAAGATAGGACACGTGGCGTGTGATCGGACGAGCCGATCCACTGCCAGAGACCTCGGGGGCGAGACGCACGGTGTCCACACTGTTAGGGCCGAGCTCGATCATGCGATATCGCCCGAAGAATCATGGCGCTAGCCTACCCTGGCGAGCACATTTCCTTACCTGCACCACGTCCCCTAATTTGTACTGGGGCCGCGGACCCGCATTCCCGTTTCGGGCCTCGTAACTGCGGACCTGTCGGCCTTGGGCCAATTCGGTCATTTTTTGTCGTTTTCGGGCTAGCCTGGGAAGGGACCGTTCCATCAATTCTAAGTGTCGTTTGGCCTTGTCCCGAGCCGTAGCCCTGGTGGGCCGTCGGTTCAGTGTGGATTCGTCTGGGAGGCTTGGTATCGAAACGCAAGCGACGCTATTGGTCCTCAACTGAAAGGGGCTCAACCCCGTCGATTCGTGGGACGTTCCGCGATGGACCGCCAGGATGTGGTCGACGATATCGGGACAGGGCCTCGGATCCCGTGCCGCGATATTTCGTTGCAATGCCGTCTTTATCACCCAGTTGGCGTTTTCCACCAGTCCATTGGATTGCGACATGTGGGATGCAGTATTCCGTATGGCAACGCCATGTAGGACCAGATTTCTTAGCACTTCTCCCCTGAATTCAGCCCCATTGTCGGTCAGGATCTCTTCCGTATCCTGGTGCATCCCGAGGAAACGGTTGACGTATCGTGCGATTTCCATGGCTGGCCGTGTGCGACAAGGGTACGCCTCGATCCATTTCGAGAAATGGTCGATAAATACCAATAGAACTGAATATTCGCAACTATTAGGGCCAGGGGGCACCACTATATCGGTAGTATCCATGCTCACTCTTTGAAATGGTCGTTCAACTACCATGGGTACTATCGATCTTGGTGGCTGAATCGGCGCTTTATCAGCGGTACAGGCTTGACAGTTGGCGACGATGTATTTCACATCATCGCGGATGTTGGAACAGTACCACTCATTTTTGTCGATAGCGGACTCCGTGATTCGTACAGCAAAATGAGCCGCAGTTTATTCGTGTGTTGTCTTAACCCAGTCATACCTCATGAACGGATGCGGCACAACCATCCAAATCCCATGGCCATCTGTTTTCCGTTTTTCAAATCTGCCCTCTATCCATCTGTAATCTCGAGCTCTCTCGTTGGCCCTCCTCCGATCTTCCTTGGTAAAATCCTGGAGGGGGTTGCCAACTAGGGTGGCAATCAAGGCAATATCAGTCCATACTTCGACCCTTCTAAACCTCCGGGGCTTTTTCAATCTCCGAGTATACGCGGGAGATAGCTTCACAAAAATAGCAAACTTTGTCAGGCAGGGAGAAGAGAGACGAAAAGGAAAGGGGAGAAAGAGGGGTAGTAGGGTTACCTCCGTCATCCATTGCCACCGCTCTGCTTCTTGCCACGTGGGAGAACTACCACTTGTCCGTACTTAGGCTCGTTTGTCAATTCCGGCTCCTTCCACGGTGTAATTTCCTCGCCCTTTGGTACTTTAGTCGGTCGATGCAGACGCGTCAGTCCGTCGGCGTTGCTGTGTCGCTCTGTCTTTCGATGGACGATATCGAAGTCATATTCCTGTAGTCGCACCGCCCAACGGCCAATCATGCCCGTGTAATTGGTGAGTTTCTTCAGCGCCAGCAAGGGTTCATGATCTGTTACGAGGCAAAACTTCTGTCCGTAGAGATACGGATGGAAGTGCTGGATTCCCCAGACTACTGCATAGCACTCGCCCTGAGGTGCTGAGTCATTCCTTCGCTCGTCCGGTACCGTGCGTGACGCGTATTCGATGACGTGTTCACGACCATCGTTCACCTTCTGCGCTAAAATAGCGGAGATAGCTGCCGGTTGCTAGTCCGTGCTGAGAATGAACTGTTTCGAGGAGTCCGGCCAAGTCAAAATAGGGGTCGTCGCCAAAGCGTCCTTGAGGGTTGCGAAAGCCTGTTGGCACTCTGCGTCCCAGCTGAGAGGCTGGTCCTTCCTCAGCAGGTTCGTTAATGGCCGTGCAATCGCGGCAAAGCCTTTGATGAAGCGCCGATAGTACGACGCTAACCCCAAGAAGGCTCGAACATGTGTCAGCGACGTGGGAACCGAGGCTTCTTTCACTGCTGCAACCTTTCTTGAGTCCGGTCGTAGTCCTCCACGTGTCACGAAGTAGCCCAAGAACGAAATTTCCGAGGGGAAAAATTCGCTCTTCTCGAGCGCAATCTTGAACCCAACGTCTCTCAACGCGCCTAGTGTCCATTCGATACGTTGCGCGTGCCCGTGATAGGTTTCCGAATAGACCAGGATATCGTCCATGTACACGATCACGCAGAAGTTAATCCTCCCTTGTGCCAGTCGTGTCTTGTTGACGAAATTCTGGAACGTCATGTTCATCGCTCGCTGAAACGTCGCAGGCGCGTTGCAAATCCCCATCGGACATCCAACCCACTGCCATGTACCTTAAAACAGTACGAAGGTCGTCTTCGGCCGATCTTCCTCCTTTACCAGAATGTGATGGAAGCCATGCCAAATACCAAACTTGCGAAATCAATTAGCGCATCCAATCGCATCCAACAAATCATAAATTCGGGGGAGGGGGTACACATCCTTAATCGCGATTTCATTCAACTTGCGATAATCGATGCATATGCGGATTAATCCGTTTTTCTTCGGCACCAGTACGACGGGAAAGGACCATGGTCCAATGGCGAGTTCAGAAAATCCGCAGGCTTCGAATTCTCGAATTCGCTCGAGAGTCTTTTTGCGTTCTATCAGGGAGTATCGGTACGGCTTACGTCTGTATTTCGTGTTGAATAACTAACGACAGGCCAATGTCAGTGTCTGTCACGCTAATCGCTCCCTGATATTCCGTCAAAATGTCCGCAATCAACTGATGAATGTCATCGGGTACGTACTGTGACACGTGTAACTCGAAAAGTTGATCCCAGATCCGTACATCTATCTGTTTTGTGCGTGCAGGTTTCGCCACATCGGGCGGGGGTGCAGAAATGAACGAATGGTCCGATCGCCAGGAGAACACTGTGGCCGTCATCTGGGCATCTTCTTCCTAGATTGCCACGTGTCCTTCCGGGGTGATCCCGTCACAAATATCCTGCCATGGCACGTTCTTACTTGCGATCTTTATCCCCAGTTCGTCTGTTTCTGCTTCGAGACGCCCAGGGGGTTCCAGAGAACTTGCTTCTGCCCCCGAGCGTAACAATCGCACTTCTTTATCAGATGTTAAAAGGGACCTTTGTAGTTCCGTAATGTCGCAGTAATGCTTTTTGTCGCTGTATCGGGAGAGGAGCGGGGTGATTCCTTCGTACAGGTTCGAGGGGGTTCCAAAGAATCGACCATCCTCAAAATCTGCACGAGGGGTTCACCCAAGATCATCGCCTTGGTCCTCTGAGCATTCCTACCCGTCAGATGCATCGTTCTTACTATCGTTCTGGGTGGTGGGTAGTAAACACGTTGTCGTGCTAGCTTAGAGATCTCCAGGTCGTCCTCATCACTGTTGTCCGCATCATTCGTCGATGACTTTCCGTCTGCGGATTCATGCGGAGAGTCCCTGCCATCATCGGCGAAACCCGTGGGACTGCATTGATGGTGGTACGAAGGGCTAGTCTCATACGCACCGCATAGGGCTTTCCTCCTGTATTTCGGAGGACGATAGACCGTCGTTCGAAATCTAGGTTTGCTCGTAACGCTATAAGAGCAGGAAATCCAAAAATCACGTCGTACGTTTTAATATCTAGTACTACGACATCCCCAAGTATGTGCACTTTTCCTAATCGGAAAGCGACATTGGTCATTCTTTCCACGGTCTTGATCTTTTCTTCATCTGCCGAAACGAGCTGATCTTTCTCAGTGAGCATGATCAGATCGTTTTTCCTTCCCGCTCTTTCGACTACTCTTAATGAAATAGCCAAAACGGCCGCTCCTGAATCAATGATTGCGTTATACGGGATTCCCCAAATTTCAATATCGCATTCTGCGGACTTCCATGGGATGGGTTTAATTCGTAGGAAATTATCATCTTTCTGGATTAATCCAACCCTTATCGGATCCGAAGTGCGTGTCGGATTTTCTTCGAGTGTGGGGCTTTTAGTTTTTGCGCTCGGTACTCGGGCCAGAGCGAATCGTTTTCAGTTTGCCTTGCAGTGCTGCAACATCCGCTCGTTGGCTTGTTCAGAAATCGAAAGCAAATGACCGATCGGAAGCAGAATCCGATGGTCCAGGGCTCGGACGATGTTTAATACATCGATTTCTCCCGTGACGAAAGTGGGTCCTCCTGATTTTATTTCTCCTAGAGAAGGTCGCCACTCCGCCACCTCTTTCTGTTCTGGCGCTGGTCTGATCGTTCCGATCCTTCCAAACCCGGATAACCAAGTGATACGTACTAATCTAACGGGATTTGCTCGGCGGCCTTTTCCGTGGTGGCTAGGGCACTTCCCCCACCCTCTATTTCTTCCATCAGAGCTCCGACTCGTCCTGGTCCGTTAGCGATGGGCGCCGCGGTCATCGACGCGACCCCGACACGTTGTTGCGGAGGCCTGTGAGGGCAATCGGGGGCTAGATGTCCAGGTTGAGGACATGCATAATCGACGTTCAGATTGTTCGCGATTCCTCCGAGAGCGGGGGCCGGGGCTAACCCTTGCTGAATCGGAGGGGCACGCACCGCAATGGGCCGCATGCTCCTCATCATGGCTTCCAACCGAGAATTTTTTTCTCGCTGCTCCTTTTTGCTTTCCTGAATTAGACTTCCCAAGGTTTTGGTCAGCACGAGTATGGCAGTGGATTCATTCGATCGTACGGGAGCCTCGACTGGGGGCGGGGGTGCCGTTCTTACAGGCGTTGGCATTATAGGGACGGGGACACCTGGGATCTCACTTGGAACTGGTCGTTTAGGGGCCATCTGTTCTATATAGGTGACAGGACCCGACACAAACCCCATGTTTTCGAATTTGTTTTGCAGCGCAACCAATTCGGTTTTTGCCCTTGCGAGTTCGGACGAATCTCCTTCCCTAGAATAGTCCTCTCCTTCCAGGAAGTTCGCCGCGAACTTCTGTTCCATGTCTTCTGCAGCGTCCATGATTTGCTGTAATGTATGATTGATGGGGGAAAACTGCTTCCGCAGCTTTGCCCTTATTGTTCGGCTGCGGAGTTCGTCTATGAACAGATCTCTCCCTACTTGCTCTCCTCGCTCAGTCTTTACAAACATTCGATAGAACCGGTTCTGATACTCCGCAACGGACTCGAGAGGTTTTTGCACTCGATCCTTGATCATGTAAAGCGCTTGCTCTGGGTGAACGTAATTAAATCGGTTCAGAAAGTCTCGTTCGAAGGTCTAAAGATCTACCCACACATAGGTACTAAACCAGGGATGAGTGTCTCAATCGAGCGGGGATGTTTACCTGAGCTCCGTTATCGTCATACTGCTTTGCTCGGAGTGTGGCCAACCATGCTCCTGCAAGGTGGTGCGCAGAGTCAAATAGATATAGATCAGGTGGCGTCATGGGAGCCCGTGCACGTGGAGCGGGTTGATTAGGATCCGGTTGATTGGCATTGTGCTGCAGGTTTGGCACATTGGCGGCCATATTGGCTGCTCGTCTATTGGCTGATCTACTTCGGGTGACGACGGGGTCGCGTCTATGCGCGTTCCGAGGGCGAGGCCGCCCTCGGTTAGCCAGATCGCCTAATTATTATGCTATTGATCCTAAGACCTAGCCACGTGTCGGGCTCTGATACCAACCTCACACCCAACGCAACTTCCTGATCGGAGTGGGATGTGGGCCTGGAAGTGCGAAAAGGGGTGTGCCAAGGATTTTTGGGGAAAGTGGGGGAGTCTTAGGGGTATGAATGCAATTAGGCGAATAAGGTGCGCGTGCGCAAGGGACTTAAGGCCCGATGGGGCCTGGGTACTGTGGGCGACGGCTTACAGGGAAGTCCCTCCGCGGAGGAGGTGGTCCTGAAAAGTTGGGCCGTCGGGGGCCGCCACGTGGCGCATGCCGCTGCTTGTGTGGGTTGGGCCTTCAGAATTCCGGGGTTCTTCGTTCGCCGCCACGTCGGCAATTTCTGCAGGGCGTGTTGGGCGAGTAGGGGGCTATGGCCGGCCACGGAACGACGCTGAGTTGATGATATGGGAGAAGAAGGCGAAAAGGAGGGAAACTGGTGGTGATGACGACAAATCCCGGGTGGATGAAGTAGTAGGTGTGGTCGGGAGAAGGGAAATCAGAGCACCGGGGGTCGCTAGAGGTGGCGCAGTGGAACTCCCGAGGACACAGTCGATTCTCGGTGTGGCAGGGGTTATCTCTATCGGAGGAGTTCGTTTATCAAAGGGGTGAAGTAATCCGGGTCGTAGGATGAGTCGGAATCCCAGGATCGCGTCATCACGACATTGCGATTTATGAGTTGCCTATGGACGGATCACGGTCGTTGCGTGCGATCACGTGCAGGCCTCGTGACTGTCGTCGGACTTACGCGTGCTTGTGCGGGACGATTGCGTCATTGCGGATTTCGGGATGGCTGCTCCCAATCGGATGGATTGATGGTCCCGTTGAGTCGACGCATGGGGATATGTGTAAGTGCGCAACTTGGATCGCGTCTTACACGTGTCCTCGCGCGGCGTTCATCGAGCCCAGGATCCGACCGCCTAACCATTTTGTGATGTTCTAAGTTATGCAAGATGCAATGATCACAAACAGCTTAATCACAAAAAAGAAACGAGCAGAGACAAAAACAGGATTATCGATTGCGCAAAATCCCTATTCTACACACGAGTGCGTGGGATGCGACAATAAAAAACAAAGACAAGGGTTTCTCAGCAAAAAGATAGGCAATCCAGCATGGCATCCATACATCCATCCATTCCGTCATCATACACATAGCACATCAAAGAGGGTAGAGTCGCGAGGGCAAATGTAAGTAAAAACCCCAGGTTCAAATTCCGCGAAATTGAAAAGAACGGGCAAGCTGCCTGGAGCCGAAATCAAAACTTATGTACACAAGACAGGCGGGAGAAAAGATAGAAGAAACAGCAAAACCGCATACATCAACCTCAACTCTCTCTCCCTCTCTCTTCTTCTCCGATGCGGACAGTCCGTCGTCGCGCACCAACCCACGAAGTCGTCACCCCGCTTAGTCCTCCCGCACCCGTCAGGTTCGCCCGAGCCCACAGTCCGTCGTGGCCCGCGTCAACCCCACGCGTTCGGCACCAGCTCGTCGGGTCGCCCGACTCCTGCTCTACTCACCTCTTACTTTGCTCGTGTGCCGACCCTTCCTGATCGCCCAACCCCGAGCTTCCAACAACTGATTAAGAGAGCTAACTAATCGCGCAGCCGAAATTTATAGCGTGCATGCATGCACGAAGAACACGAAATTACCAAGACTTAGAAGGGAGATTAGCAAGGGAGCGCCTACGTTTTGCATGACCGGGCCGCGGCGTGCGGGGCGTAGCCACTCTCCACGCATCGATCTGAGCATGCAGTCCGTAGTTTCAAAAACGCAGCAAAAGAAAGAGGAGGAGGGCAGGAAGGACGAGGAGCAAGAAGAAAGATACAGTTACAATGGCGCCAACCCAAGATTACAGTTACACACCCGATTAAAGGCGCCAACTAATCAGAATTCCGTTGCAGCCGCAAAAAGAAGCGCGTAAGCAATTAAGAGCGTTGCGCGGCAAAAGAAAGTCCTAATTACAAAATTCCTAAATCGCTAACTAGTGCGAAAGGCAAAAGTACAGGTTCCGGGAAGAAAGTCCGAAATTCCGAGAGCCATCGGGGCTTGACAAAATTCGAAAAAGATTTGAAAGAAAAATTCAAAAAGGAACAAGGCAAATTCCCGCGCTGTGTCCGCACCCAAAAGATCGAAACCGAAGCGAGAGAAACGACGTTAACATTTTTTAATGCGCGCGTGGAGGCGCGCCAGCCATCCAGCCGACCAATCAATCAACCGGTCATCCCAGAACACGCCCAGCTCCGAACCCAGCCGTGCGAAAAGAAGCGACGGAAAAGACGAAAAAGCAAGGACACCGATGCAATTTCCCACCGATCCCGATCTCCCGTAATTGGCCCAACGTTCCCAACATAGGACCCCTCATTGCAACCGCGCAGAAAGTCGCGCGTTACAGAAAGTGGTTCGTCACAGTCACGGTTTGAATGTATCCAACCCCAGATTCAGGGCTGGGTGGGATGTGTTGTATTCGAGGGATGATTGAAGTGGAGGGTCATGTGCTACTTGGAGGGAAATGGGCGGTGATTGCCAGCATTGTGGTGTTGTGTGTGGTGTGCGTTGAGTGTGGACACTACAGCCTTGCAGGGGTGGGGCGGATATCATGTCCGGTATGGTTCTGCTTTTGAACACCATGCAGTGGTTACAACAGTTGGCTCTTGAGGCCAAGGTCGCCGGTTTAAGTCTGTGCGTGTGCTTGCACAGAGGAGGGTTGAGGCGCAGGGGTACTGATTCAATGACATGACATGAAGTGGATTTGGGAACCGAGAACGTGACTGCGCCGCGGAAAAAAGGAAAACGTTTTTATTCTTATGCTGTTTCACGTTTTCCGTACGCTCGTTGGCAAATGTGTACGTCTTGATCTCACACCTGCAACTGTACTTGAGTTCTTCGCACGTGTACATGAGTGTGAATGGGTCTCGCTCCACTACTCAGCTCATGTGCAAAAGACTAAGAATAGGGCTATCTATCTTCCCATGTTCCGGCCGAAGATTCATGGTCATTGTACACATTAGTTGAGTACTGGAGACACGGCAATGTCTTGTGCACACAGGGCATACTCACACAAGCACTTTTCTACTTATTTCTGGACAGAATTGCAGCCAGATTCAAATAAGTCCCGCTATAAATGTGGTCAGGCACAGCTAAGATCATGGTAGTGTGAGTACGTCCTGAAGAATTCAAATTACAATTCAGTGCTCAAGGCGAAAACAGTACAATGTATGCTCGGACATGTGTCCCTGGGGGCATCCCTTAAAATTGGAGCCAAACACCGGGCTTGGTTGTCATGACCTCGTGGGGCTGCGTCATGACCATCCGTGTTCACGAGAGCACATGTGGGGGCTTCCCCCGACCTGCAGGTGGGTGATACCGGCTAGGGGACAGGGGGTAGCATTAGGGACCATGCTGTGCCTCCCCTCAGGTCCCCTCCCCTAAGAACATCAGTGCGGATCGGGGAATCCGGTGGTGTATCTCTAGGTAGGTGGCGGCCGCCAAGAACATCAGTGCGGATCGGGGAATCCAGTGGTCTATCTCTAGGTAGGTGGCGGCCGCCAAGCATGCCCAGGAAGGTACATGAGGCAAATAGGGATTGAACCCACGACCTCCTGAATGCCACTTGCGAGCCTTTCCAACTGAGTTAGGCCGCTCGATATGATAGCTGCTTGTTCAGGGAAAAAGAACGAACAGGAAAGAAATGTTCCCTTGTTGGAGGCTGTCCTGTGCAGATTCGACAGGTAATTGAATTGGTTGGGCATGCTCCCGTCGGGGACATCTCTGGTATTATTCGGCCTTTATCACCCTCAAATTCCGCATCGAACGGCCTACCGTCTTCACCCGAGTAGAACGGCCTGTCTTACCCGAGTAGCACGCCAAGTTATACCCCAATAGAACGTCTCTGTCTTATAGCTGTATTCGGTGGGACTTTTTTGCCAGGTAACGGCGATGATGACCAACCGTTCTAAGAGGGTAGGAGAACCTTGGTCCTACTTGTGCGTGTCGAGACGCAATGGATCGTAGAGTTCAGGGTATGCCCCTTTGTTTTTTTTTTTTTCTTCTTCTTTTTCAGGGTCCCCTTGTTTTTTTTTTGTTTTTTTTTTTCAGGCCCCATTATTGGGGCTTCGTTCATGATTGGAATGTGCATTAAGACTGAAAATAGAAAGCCAACTTCGTTGCGGTCGCAAGTTGAACGCAGGTTGAACGCAGCACTAGAGGGGCGTCGGCCTCATGCGGTCTGTGTGCATATATAGCGCCGTCCTGCGAAGGGAATCTGTGTCCCTCAGGAGTCCGGACGAGCTTAGCCACGTCGGCGACGTAAAGTTTACCTGCTGGGTTCAGATCGCAGGTGTACTAGACCTTGGGGGAGGACGAAGAGCTATGGCTATGGCGGCCTCCTGGGGGTGTAAAAGAGTGTCAGCAGCGCCGGCGATGTGCTCTTTCTTGCTGCTGGCGTTTGTCCTTGCACTCTCGGTGATACCTATGGCAGCAGCGTACGGGTTGGACGATTTTTTCGCGGCTATCAATGATTTCAATTTGATCTATCATGAGGTGAAAGGCGACGTGGTCCTCAACGCCTCCTTCCCACAGATGGCCCCCCGCGAAAGCTTCACGCTGGTGGGCAAAGCGCCAGGTGGCAGACGTCCAGTGATTGACGGAGCGTTTAAGGAGGGTGGATTGATCACTGTCGCTCTGACTTTGAGGAACTTACAATTCAGGAACTTCAACGGAACGCAACCTATTTTCTCTGCGTTGGGTCACGACGTCGAAATTTAAGACTGCGTTTTTCGCGGGAATCGGGTGATAGGAGGTACCGGCTCGGCGCTCTTTGTATTGGGCGGGAACCTGAGGATCTCCCGCTCTTCCTTTCTCGGAAATCAGCTGGCGGGGCAAGGTAACGGCGGCGCTGTCTATTCGCAGTCCGCCGGGAGCGTGCTGATCGAGAGCACGGTCTTTCTCAACAACCAGGTGACGGGAGCGGGAGGCATGGGAGCGGGTGGTGCGCTATCTATTCCCTTTGCTACTCTTTACACAATCACCAATTGTACATTCGACGGTAATCGGGTTGATGGGATCGGGGGCGCGATCGCGTCTAGCAACTGCATCCGTGGGGAGATCCTGCGCTCGAGCTTCTCGCGCAACTCCGCCTTCTCGACGAAAGGAGCTTACAAGCGATACGCCACGGGCGGGGCCATCGATATATACGGCGACAACGTCACTGTCATCACCGGATGCTCGTTCACAGGTAACAAGGCGGCTGGCAGGCGAGGAGGAGCGGTGTCTATGATGCTGTATCTGGCGGAGGCGACGATCTCCGGCTCCAAGTTCGAGAAGAACGCCGCTGCGACATACGGTGGGGCTGTGGGTGTGCGAGTCGTGCCCGGGAGGTTCATGGAGGGCAATCGTGGATTTGCGCGGTATAAAGGCGGGCCTCCGAGGAGTAGAGTGAACTTCTGCAGAGGGAACACGTACTCGAGGAACGTGGCGGGGAGTTCAGGCGCGGAGAACATATACGTGGACATGCGCAACAACTCCGGGAGTGGGGTGACATTCTGTCCGAGCGAGCCTCCTCTTGCTCTGATCGAAGCGGAGACTGGCACGGTCACCATCTCCTGCGCATCCTGCTGAAAGATCGCGGGTAGTCCCACTTACTTCGATTCCTCCCCCCTGGCCGTCTATCGTCGTAGTCCACGGCCAGATACAAACGATCAATGCAATTGTGGCCTCGCTCGAGATGGAAGTCGGCGAGTCAGGGGGCAATTTCCTCTAAACAGCTCGGCCCGAGCGAGCTCACTGGACGACAGAGAGATGCGGTGGGCGTGTGTTAGAGAAGGGAAGTCGCCTGGCTTCGAACACTTCTACGATAAATAGAAAGGAAATGTGGTCCCTAGTCAGTCTCTCTTTGGCCACAAAGAGAGAGAGAGAGAGAGAGAGAGAGAGAGAGAGAGAGAGAGAGAGAGAGAGAGAGAGAGAGAGAGAGAGAGAGATTGTTGGCATGGGAATCAGAGTGGGTGGGACAAAGAGATGCGAGGTTTGTGGATTGACCGTCGACAAGCCGCGGGCTGCATCGGCCATTGACGAGGAGTTTGGTCATTGGCATTTCTCTGTTGTAATGCGGGGTGTTTTTGGGACGTGCTCCTCATAACCTCGCACATGTCGTGAAAGCTTTTCCCGCACTTTACCGGGAAGCCGTCTGGTTCGGTGTACGAGACTGCAGCCTTTCTGTTTTTTTTTTTTTTTTTGTGGAGTGATTCATATGTTTATATTTGTCGAACAGAGATCTGTCGGCACTTTCACAGATTCCTGTTCCTCTTCTTTTCTTCTTTCTCTCTTCACTTGTTTTCTTCGTCTTTTTCTACCACTTCTTCTTCATCTGTTGTATGACGTCTCGTCGAGCTGTTGCCATTGTCAGGGCGCGTGCAGCGGAAGCCGTACGGTGCCAATACCAGTCCGATCAACTTCCTTCTCTTCCTCTTCTTCTTCTTCTTCTTCTTTTGTGTGTTTGTGAAGTCTTTGTGTATGCATGGTTCTATGAAGTTGGCAGGAAATCGGTACTCTGCTACGCTGCCACGTGGCAGCGACGGTGGCAAGCAAATCAGACTCAGTGTCACGAATGCCAAGAGTTGGGCTACAGGACGACACGTGCCACACTTGGTGCCGTTGCGTGTCTGTGCGTGTGTGGGGGGGGAGTTCGGTTTTGCAGCGGTGCAACTGGCGGCCACACGCTGCCCGACCTCGGTGATTTGTCACCGTGCGATGACGCGGCGTTGGAATTAGCTGCGACAAGTGGCAGGAGTGGATAATGCACAAATAGCAATCAACGAAAACGAAAAACCCGCGCCATGTTTCATTCATGGCACACGAGGACGCGTGCATGTGTGTGTTCATGATCTCAGGGCTTGGTATGGTTTGTTGAGAGTCTTTTGTGCCCGTGTCCGCGTGCATGTGTGTGGTGATGATCGTTTCTGCGGTAGGAAAGTAGTCTGTCGCCGCCGCCAAACAACCCGCTTAGTCTTGTGATACCAAGTGCCAAGTGGCAGGCTGGCAGCGTGCGGCTGACCGAGTAGAGGTGATCTGGAGAGAAAACAGATTGAAAGCACGTGGGCACAGGGAATCGCTGTCATTCCCGTCGCGGCTGGCAATCTTCAGCTTAGTCTTGTGATAGCAAGTGCCACGTGGCAGGCGGGCAGCGTGCGGCTGACCCAGTGGAGGTGATCTGGGGAGAAAGCAGATTGAAAGCACGTGGGCACAGGGAATCGCTGTCATTCCTTTCGCGGCTGGCAATCTTCAGCGACTTCATTTCGTGAACGTCACACATTCCTTAAATGACAGACGGGAGAATGAGAGAGAGCCGGTGCCAGAGTGTCTGACGCCGAGTTTGGTGTGCCAAACTCGTCGTCCGACACTGCACATCCGCCCCCCCAACAACTCTCGGAATGTGCGAAATGAGAATGAACTTCCCGCTAGAACATGGGCAGATGCGCCCTAACAACTTTGCTCTTCATTTTTGAATACTAGGTACGTCGCCGCGCCCTCTCTCAGAGTCTCTCTCGCTCTCTCTCTTTCTCTCTCTCTCTCTCTCTCACACACACACAGACACACACACACACACACACACACACACTGTCCATAACGCGGAAGATTCATTCTCATATGGACGTTTTGTGTGTGTGTGTGTGTGTGTGTGTGTGTGTGAGAGAGAGAGAGAGAGAGGGCGTCCGACAGCGTCGAGTCTCTGACGCCGAGTTTGGTCCGGCGTCAGACACTCTGACGCCCTCTCTCTCTCTCTCTCTCTCTCTCTCTCTCTCTCTCGGTCTTCCTGCCTTCCCCCCCCGCCTGCCGCGCCC